AACCCAGCCTGCACATCTGGCAATTTTCTGTTGATGTGCTGCTGCAATCATTTTTTATAATTTTCAGTAAGATCTGGTTTGCATGTGATATTAATGATATTGGATAATAATTTCTACAGTGTCAGGTCACCTTTTTCTGAAATGGGAACAAATATGCATCTCTTCCAGTCAGTTGACCAAATGGCTGTACTCCAGATTTCTTGGCACAACTACAAATGAATGGGTTGAGAAATTATGGTACATTCACACAATGGAACACTCTGCAGCATGCAGGAGCAATGATTTTGTAAATTATTACCCAAGTTGAGAGAGACTGGAGAGCATTATGCTGAGTGAAATAACTCATTTCCAGCAGGATAAATATTGTAGAAAACCATTACTGTAGAATGAGTATAAGGATCCAAGAGGGATGGAGAGGTTGGAAGCAGAGGGATGAGGATGTGCAGGGGGAACAAGGGGGGATTAATCACGGGGTTGTACAATTAAATTGAGAGAATTTGTTCTCGAAAGCAGTGTATTCAAATTTTCTAAATAAACTAGTAGAAAATTGAAAAAAAAAATAAGAGTAGGTTTTGTTTGTTTGGTTTTTTTATTTTCCCAAGTAGATATGTTTTTCTTTCTTTCTTTTTTTCCCAAGATCCAAAGCATTTTAGTATTTTATTGCAGATCTGGGAAAGCAAAGACTTTAAAGGTGATCTTTGGCTTTTATTCTTGGGTTAGGTATTTTAATGTACATAACAAATTACTATGTCTTGTTATAAAAGAACCAATAGCTATGTCTTGAAAAAACTGCAAGCGTAGTGTTCCTTTGAGGCAAAGATGTCAAAGCGTTGTCTTTCTTACTCTGAATGTGTATTTAGTTGATGCTATTCTTTGAAAAAGGACATCAGACTTGGAAAGATGAAGGATCAGCAAAGGAAAAAAGACAAAACAAAAACCCTAAGTAGATTGTCATGGTGCCTTCAGCAGTGGGCCCTAGTGTGTCAGAGATGACGAGGAAGGCACAGAATAGGGCAGGTTTCAGGTCAGCAGTTCATATGGTCTTTATGAGTTGTATTAGACTGAACAGCACTTGACAACACAACAATCTCTACTTCAAAGTTACAAATTTCTTACACTCAAAGGATAATTTATATACACTATTTAGTAAACAGACTGTTTAAGGTAGATTTTACATATGGCTGAGAAAAATACCATTTCAAAATACGAATGCTACTTCAGAAAGGATGCATTTCCTTTCCAAGTAAATCAGCAGCTTCAGATAATTTGCTTGACTATAGAGAAGTCAAAACAGGATCTGAAGACAAACCAAACATTTATAAGCAATTCAACAAGTTTTGCAGGCTGGAAACCCAGAATGCCAAGTTTTTAGAGCTATACCATGTATTTAAAGAATCCTGAATTTATTAATAATAATCCATTACAGCCCCCCCTTTTCTTGTCAGTCTTATATCTCTAAGACCTGTTTTAACCGAAAGAACTATATCTGATCCAGGGCAAATTACCTAGGTTAGTTATTGAGAAAGTAGATTTTCTTTACAAAGAGATTATTTCTTTTGTTTTGTGGGCTCCCCATTTGGGAATTGTGGCTAAAATAGAGAAAAATGGGACTGCCAGAAAACCTGATTGTAATCATGGGAAACCTATACTTGAACCAGGAAGCAGTCCTCAAAACAGAGCAAGGAAACACTGCAAGGTTCAAAATTAGCAAGGAGTGTGTTAGAAATGCATGCTGTCTCCATACCTTTTCAATCTATATGCAGATTATGAATAGATCTACATGAACAGATCATTCAGTAGGCTGGACTTTATGAGGAGGAATGTGGCATCAGGATTGGAGAGAGACGCATCAACAACCAGCATAATTCACATGACACAACCTTGCTTGCTAAAACTGAAGAGGACCTAAAGTGTTTGATGCAGAAGGTCAAGAACTATAGTCTTCAATATGGATTGAAACTCAAAATCAAGAAAACAAAGTTTCTCACCATTGGGCCAATTGGCAGCACAATGATGAATGGAGAAGAGATTGAAATTGCTAACTATTTCAGCTTAATCAGTTCCACAATCAACACTTTTGGCTCCAACAGTCTGAAAAGTAATAGACAAATTGCTTTTGGAAAATCTAATGTCAAGGACTTCTTTAGAGTGCAAAAGAGCTACAATGTCAGTCTAGAGACTAAGGTGTGCTGGTCTAGGCCATGGTCTTTGCAAATTACTTGGTACACATCAGAGTACTGGTCAATGGCTGAAGGTAACAGAAGAATTGTTGCTTTTGAGTTGTGCTTGAGGAGTACATTGAACATCCCCAGAATTACCAAGAGAACAAACAGGTCCATCCTGGAGACGGTGAAACCAAAAAGGATAGGATAATCTGTGGCCCTCAGGCCTGTCTTTCATTGTTTTTGTGCAGACATTCCTCTAGGTTGTATAGACCTGGTGTCCAAGTTGCTGTACCACGGTCAGTTTGGGTTGCTGTGAGGCTGAACACTGTGACACTGATGTGTCAAATGCGTTAATGGTTGGCCACCCAAAGCGGACAGAGAGTGGGGTGGAGCTCCCCAATTAAAACAAGCTCGGAAGGAGGAGTGGTATCCACTTCCTTAATAGCTTGCCTCCAGAAACCCTATGAACCTGGAGAGAGGATGAAAGGCACCCAAGCGTTGAGGACTCTCCTTCATAGGGTTTTTATCAGTCACCTGCGACTAGACAGCACTTAACAACAACAACAACAACTGACTACTTTGGGCATGCTGACAGAAGGGATCAATCCTTGGAGTAGTATATCATGCTTGGAAGGGTGGAGGGAAAGCACAGGAAAGGGAGAACCTAGATTAGATAGATTGACAAAGTAAGTAGGATAATGGGGATAAGAGTGTCAATTGGTTCAGGATAGGGTAGGACTCAGAACTATTATGGATAGTGTTGCTATGAGTCATAGTCAACTCAACAGTACATAACAACAACAACAACAGCAGCAGCATTTGGGAACAGGGATGAAGACTCTTGGGCTGCTTCTTAATGAACAGGAGTGTTGAGATGAAGAGGGC